TTTTTTATAGGATTGTGGAATTATTAAGGTTGGGAAAACCCCGGAAAATCATTAAATCCAAGCGTTTTCCCAATTTTTGGCAGGAATTGTCAATCCTGGTTCTTTCTGTCCAGTCCCCACCAAACCAAATTCCTGGGAAGGAAATTCAGGATGAAAAATTTGGAATTTTTGGGGATTTTTTTTTTTTTACAGGATTGTGGAATTATTCAGGTTGAAAAAAACCTGGGAAATCATCAAATCCAGAGATTTTTCCCCAAGAATTCCAGCATTTCCTTGTCCTGGGAGACTCTGAGGGATTTTTTTCCCCCATCCCAAAATTTTGGGAAATCTTGGAAAAAATCCATGGAATGAAACCATCAATTAATGATTGAGATCCAGGCAGTTTTTCCCAACTTTAGCAATTCCATGATGTCCTTCTGAGGGAATATTTGGGATTTTTGGGATAAAATCCAGGTGGGAACAAGCTCGGGTGGGGTTTTTGAGGTCAGAAATTTCCGGAATGGGGGAAAATTCGGGAAGAAAATTTGGGAAAAGTCACCTGGACCACGCAAGGCTCCGGCTGATCCCGCAATTCCCGATCTTCCAGCACCGTCACGGGTCCCCCTTTGCAGATGCTGCCTCCCAAAAAAACCTGGAAAAGGGAAAATGATGGAATTCCAAAGGAAAAAACGCAATTAATCCAAATTAAATCGGATTTTTTCCATTAAAAAAGTGTGGAATGAGGTCAGAGCTGAATTTTGGGGGTTTTTTTGGGAATGTTTTCCCCATTTTGGAAAAAAATGGGGAGCAGGAAAATGACAAAATTCCATAGAAAACCACAATTAATCCAAATTAAATCCGATTTTTTCCATTAAAAAAAGGAAGGAATGAGGTCAGAGCTGAATTTTGGGATTTTTTTTTGGGAAAGTTTTCCCAGTTTTGGTGAAAATCTGGAAGCATGAAAACAAAATTCCGAAGGAAAATCACAATTAATCCAAATTAAATCGGATTTTTTCCATTAAAAAAGTGTGGAATGAGGTCAGAGCTGAATTTTGGGATTTTTTTTGGGAAAGTTTTCCTGGTTCTGGAGATGCTGTCTCCCAAAAAAACCTGGAAAAGGGAAAATGATGGAATTCCAAAGGTAAAAGTGCAATTAATCCAAATTAAATCAGACTTTTTCCATTTAAAAAGGAGGGAATGAGGTCAGAACCAGATTTTGGGTTTTTTTTTGGGAATGTTTTCCCATTTTTCCTCACCTGCCCCACCAGTTTGGGGTTTTTGGGGTCGGAGATGTCGTACTGCCGCACGTCCCCGTGGATCCAATTGCTGAAATACAGGAATCTGTCGTCCAGGGAGATCAGGATGTCTGTGATGAGCCCTTCCAGGAGGAAAAAATTCCAAAGGAAAAAAAAAAATCAGGGAATTCCTCAAAATCCGGGATTTCTCAAAATTCCCGCCCAAATTTTGGCGCCAAAATTCGGAAGCGCCAAAAAATGGGGTGGGAAAAATGGGATGAGGAGAATTCCAAGGTTTTTTCAGCATTCCCAGATAATTCCTGAGCAAATTCAGACCCAAATTCCAGGGGTTTTTATGGAGAATTAACGTTGGGATCATTCCAAGTTTTTTTAGCATTCCCAGATAATTCCTGAGCAAATTCAGGCCCAAATTCCAAGGATTTTTAATGGAAAAAAGGAGCATGGAGCCAGTTCAGACCCAAATTCCAAGGAATTTTATGGAAAAAAAAGAGCACGGAGCCAGTTCAGACCCAAATTCCAATGATTTTTATGGGAAAAAAAAAAAAGCAGGGAACAAATTGAGACCCAAATTCCAAGGATTTTCCTGGAAAATCCTACCTTGAGCAGAGGAACCTTCGCTCATCCCGGAATCGCCGCTCGAAGAACCCAAAAATTTGGGAATTTTTTTTGCCATTTAAGGATGAATTTCGGCCAAAACCGGCTCCGGATCATGGAGAAAATTCCCGATTTTTCCCAATTTTCCCAAATTTTTCCCAGTTTTTCCCACTGACCTGGCATATCTGGGAGGAGCCATCCTTGGACTTTCTTGGAGGGAACTTCAATCACCTTCTCTGCTGCCCATTTGCCTTCCTGCAAGAAGAAATTTTGGGAATTATCCTCCCAAAATTCCCAAAAATCCTCCCAAAATTCCCAATTTTATGGAGGGATCCACGAGGATTTTCCCAAGTGCAGCTCCCAGTCCTGGATTTGGGATAAGGAGGAGAAAATCCAACAAATCCAAGGAATTCCTTCGCCTTCTTTAAGGATTTTTAGGATTTTTTTTTCCATCCCAAAGAATTCCAGGATTCCCAGTCCTGGTTTAATGGG